ACAGTATGGCAACAACCAGTATTTCCATAGAAAAATTTATAAAAATCGAAAGAAGTTAAATATTAATTCAATTTCTGTCATTATAATTATGTTCTTATCACGATTATGATAAAAGATGAGAATGAAAATTGCAATGGAGATAAATTCCTCTTTAGCTAACACTCGCTCAGTCTTCTTTACTTATAAAATACACTTGAGATTTTCAATTCTTTATTCATCTTAATGATTAAATTTTTGCAGTTAGCTTTAAGATACAATGTAAAAACAATTTACATTAATAATTCGATAACATAACAATAACAGAGGTTTACGCAAAAAGTATTAAGTATTAAATTGAACAAAAAGCTATTATATAAGAACAACATCCCTGTAAAAAAATAATCAATAAAATCACTGATAAAATCTGAGCAAAAAATACACCATTCGATTTGCCAAAACTTAACGAATCAAATGATGATTATTGTCTAGATTAGACTCATGAATCATGAGGCATCATATCCTGAATATACTGAACAAATTTCCATATTTTTCCTATTTTTTAAAAATATAGTGATATCTCATGACCACTTAATCAAATTGGTTAAAATTATGCCATAAATTTACTAAAATTTATTGGAATAGTGACTGAATTTCGTTAGATTTTGACCTGCCTGGTAGGTCATATGATACCATGCTTCAAATTCAATGTTCAAAATTAAAATGAGTTTTTTTCAAAATATCAGCAACTTTGAAGCAATGGATTACCAGAGCATTTTTTGTAAACATTACTATTATTGAATTCACAAAACTAGGTAAATTTAATAATAGTGTGTTTGGAAATAATGCATTCATTTTAATTTTGAGCAAAATTATATAAAAATTGATCTAAAGATATCTTATAATCTATATATTTGATCTGGATGGAAATATCCACCATTTGATTCATTATTTTTATTCGAGCATATCAAACAATTAACATTTATTAATTTCTGTATTTTGTGATTCAGTCCGTTCTCTTCATTGCAAATTTGACCTTTAGATTAGTGCTTTATACGTGAAAAATTTTGGTACAATACATATCGATATGATCTATAAAAAATTAGTGGCGGTCGGATCTTAAGACGGCTACTGTATTATAAATGAATCAAATATAATAAAAAAACTGGCCGTCATTACTTTCCGCCAGAACTGTATGATATTAGTTCATTACTGTAGTCAAGTGAAATTAGAGTTTCACTAATGAAATTTAAATTTGTGATTAAATACAGTTGACTCTTTATAATCTTCTTATAATAACAATAAATTCACGTGTTCTAGTGCTTGAAAATAAGTTTTAATTATAATGACGATAACATTAATTGAAAGCACAGAAAAAATAAATACATAATAAAATGACAAAAAGATTTTACAATTTGAAAATAATTTTCATTACTTTTGATCCTACATTAGAATTTTCCCACCTTGTTACATTTTTTCGAGATTCGGCGAGATACGAAAAATCAATAATATACTCACGTAAAAGCAATTCTAAACTATTAACTTGTTTTTGAAGATCTTTTAAAGAGACTGTTTCCTCAGTGTCGACATTGTCTCTGACGAGTGGCAGTTCTGGACCAAGTGTTTTGACTAATTTTCTTTGAATTGGACTTCTGATTTTATACAATCTTTGGCAGACTCCCCATGGTCTCATTCGGTTGGTTCCTGTTTATTTTCGATTAAGTTTTCATAACTCGAATTGTATAAAGAAGATCAAAAATCAAACATACCAAAAAGCACATGATAAACAAAAAAAACTTAGACTGAAAGCACCACCAAAAGTATTAATAATGCCTAGAAGCTATTAAAAATTCCTATTAATTTTTGTAATTGATCATTTAATAAAGAACTTACATCTTTAGTTCTTTAAGAGAAGAAGAGAAGCAAAAAAAGACATAAGAATATTAAGTTCCATATTTTGGTAAAATATTCAAAACCACGTTTTAATCTGATAAAAAATCATAAAAACTTCTTTTCTTTTATTATTGTATTTCATATGTTAGCAAAAATACACTCAAACTTGAAAAGAACCTTTCATGTCATTGCTGGATAATTCGATATTCTAGTAATAATTGTTTTGTTATACATGTATAACCGATACACCAAATCAAAGCATAAAATGATAGATTAATAATTAAACTTACGAAAGCTTGTTTCAATAAAGAAATTATTTCATGATCAGGTTGAGGAACACCAAAAAACATTTCTTGGAGTATTCGCAAAACTTTCATTTTGGTATCTTTTGAAACCAACATAATTTATCAAAAATAATAAAACATCACCGCTAATATGAAAATTGTGGGCATCGTAAAAAACATTAATTTCTTTTATATTCTTACCTGATTTGGAGAAAGCACGTACGTATTCTTCTCTGTAAGTTGTTTATACAAAGCGTCATTAATATTATTATTGTCATTTAACAAAACTGAACCTAATACAATATAATATATAGTTATTTATATAGAGTATTGAATCAAACAATTAACATTTATTCATTTTTTACTTTGATCAATAAACACAGCATTCAAATACGAAGTCAAGTTAAGGGAATTATACGAAGAATTAGTTAGAAAGAAATTAAAGAAAATCATGTAGATCTTGTCACTAGAGCGAGAGAAGCTATAATCATCTTTTGTGGAAAAGTCTACTTCAAAAAATTGATTCCTTGCATTGTAGCTTGCATTGTGTCAATTTAGACGATTTGAACAGTCAGTTGTTTTATTTCCTGAAATATGGGAATTGTCTATTGACATTATATCGATCTTCATATCGAACTTTTGACAAGATAATAATAGAAGTGACTACTCACCAGAGAAATGAAAACTTCAAATTCAAAAGTGGCAAAAAAGTAGGCGACTATATATTATGCAATGATCCCATGCAAAATTTTAAAAATACACAAGTACACATATGTATTAAAGAGAAAAAAATAAAAATTATAGATAATTACATTGATAAGCAATTTTCGACTCATATTTAGGGAAAATAATTTGCAATGGTTTATCAGTTACTAATCGTTAAATCAACAAAATAGAATAGGCAAACAATCCTAAAGAAACCAGCCATAAAAATGCTTCTTTGAGAAATTTTATTATGGTTGGTTCCGTTTTGCGCCACGAAACTCTTACAACATTATTAGATAATGAACAGTTAAGAAGAGAAAATTACGAAGAGGTTTTTCAAGCTACCAACCTCTTTTATTCAAAATATGGAGCATACAATAGAATTTTAGTTATCAGTTGATTGTTTAGTACGAGACAAACAAAGTAATCTGAATAACTAATTTTTTTACTATATTAGGGGGTCCGTTAAAGCCGTGTAGTTACACGTGATTTTTAATCCGATCCGGATTGCAACCATGTGACCAAAATTGAATAGCCAATAAAAATACTATATAGCGTTGGCTCACCAGCAACAATGTGCTTTAAATTCTTTGAATTAAAAGTACTAATCAAGCACTTTACAGTGTTCTGGTTGACAGCAAAATAAACTGACCAATTAAAAATTTTATTTGATTGTTGTTGACATTGTTAAAATTGATTTTTCAAGACCACTTCCACCCAAGGACCTCCATTTCATCAAGAACTCACTAGATCCAGTCGCGACGAAACCAACACGGAGAAACTGGACACCTGGGAACCCTTATTAACCTAACCAACACCAGCGGTCTCAGAAAAATCAGTCAACTTTGGATGCTTATATTTCTCCCAATATCCAACCAATTTTTGTGGCCCGAATACAA